AGCAGTCATAAAAATAGTTTTTAAGAGTTAAAATAACTATTTACATACCGTAAAATTAAAACAATTCAATCTTGATTTATAGAAAAAAGCAGAACTCTGCCCAGTAGGTACTGGCATAACTGCTTGTAAATCAAAGGTAGCTAAGACAATGTTAGATCCCATTTCTTTAGCCTTTTCTTTATCATTAGCCTTCTCCGTTCGGCTCAAGTTTTTTTCATCTTGGTGTAGTTGATAGTCGTTTTCCAACTTTGCTTTTTCTTCTGCCGTGGCATTGTTGAACCCTTCACAAAAATCACACTGATCTTTTTTTGGGAGAGAAAAATCCAATGTTAAATTCCGTATTAAATATACGAGCATAGCAATCGTAACTCGCTGCAGTTTTTCCATTGTCGACTCGCTCTTTTGCATAGTGTCTATGCATTTCAGCAATACACAACCCGCCATCAACGAATTCTCTTGTTGTGTTGGCTCTTTGATAGTGACTTTCGACTCTAGGAATGGAGTTGATGTGTTCTTTTACGGAATTTATTATATCTAGGTCAGCTCTCGAATGATTGCCATGTTTTCCTCGTTTGTCTTCTACAGTTATGCCTGAACCAGAAGTTCTTGATTGAATGACACTGCGAATCGTTCTTTCCGTTATTCCGAAAGTGTTAATCATGTAGGTTTTACATACCCGAATTCGATTTCCTTCAAAAAGCAAATAAAATCCACAGTTTTGCCTTCTGGGAGTTTCTGAAGTAAATATACGACGATATTTGAGTTGGAGGGGCTCAATACATGAAGCTAAGTAATCCCGTTGTCGCTGTAATGACGCCAAACTCCAATATTTATTAAAAAGTTCAATCCTGTATTCGTCAGATACTTTTGATGAGCACTTTAGAATACACCGGTCAGAGCAATTTGGCCCCATAACCCTTTCGTTGACAGTTTTCCCTGTTCTAGAAGTGTAGCTCTTACCAGAATTCTTCAATAATTTGGCTTTTGTTTTTTTCCATTGCTCTGGGTTTCTTGATCTCTTTTTTCCTTTTTTGATAGGTGAAACTGTTATCGGGAGATCGATTGTTTGGAGATCGGTCAACTGGTCAGTGCTCTCACTTTCCGAAGATGTTTCACTTACTGATGGAATATAGTTGTCACTGTCATCCCCAGAAAGATTTTCCTCATTTTCTGAATCATCAACTATTACTTTATAATTCGTCTGTTTTGTCAATCTACGAAGCTTAAGCTTGATTGGTGATTCATTTTGTTCGGCGATACAACACGGTGTTACAGATGATGATGGACTGGACTGCAAATATTGAGCGTCAGTCAAAATCTCGGGAGAATCAGCTAAATAAGAATAAAGCAACAAGCAATAAGCATAAGCATAAGCATAAGCATAAAGAACAAAAAAAAATAATAAATAAAAATGGTTATTGGTTAATCGGGAATGGCTATAGTCATAATCAGGCCTGTTGATTAATATAATATATTAATATAAAAGTTTAGTGGTCCAATGTAACACTTTTGAAGGTAGGAACAAAATTATATCTAATTATTATTATTTGTTTTGTTTTTTGTTTAAATTATGATTAAAAATTAAAAATCCGTATTATTTTTATTACTTTGCATTTTTTGAAAATGTTATGTTTAAAAAATAAAATATAAGTGCATATTTTTAGAGCATATTTGTACTTTTTTAAGCGCATAAGTGCATGCATATTTAGTACTTTTTAAGTACATTAAGTTCCGAGCCCTAGTCATAATAATATTATTATAATTCAAATTAATAATATTATTACATCATAATTTTAATTAATTAATTAATTTTTACATGATTACTTATAATAATCGTCCTTCATGTAAATCAGTTAATTGACTTTTGCCTCTCCCGGTTATATAGCATACATTTGCATAGCATTTAAATATATTTTATATAAAACCAAAAAATCAATCAAATGTGCGAACCCTAGGTATAAGCAATTTAGTTTGTTTTAATCTATAAATATGAGGTAGCTACTTACTCTTAGGCGAATTTTCAATATTACATACAGAATTTTTCTCAATTTCAGTCTTTTGAGTAGCTAGTTCTAATAATAGCTTTGTTCGTTTCATCATAATACTCTAAAAACATAGTTTACAAAATAAAAATAAAATCGCAAATTGGAAAAAAGCAAAGAAATATTGAGTGAACAATGACAGAAAGAACAATTACACTAAAAAAAAAAAAAAAATTTGAAGTCAATAATGACGGAATGTATACTTACGGCGTTGTTCCACTAGATAATGACGAAAAATTAAGTGTTTTTAGATGAAAAATGACGTAACTCTCACTTACGTCGTTGTGGCACCAGGATTAAACAAAAAAGTGTCACAAATAACAATTACGTCGTTGTAGAAATAAAAACAATGCACCGCGGTCGGTAGGCGAAACACAACTGATAACAACGTCATTGTTCCATTGGACATGTGATTAAAAACCGGTAATTTCAACAATGACGAAACTGCTCTCTAGCGGTCAATAATAGGTATTATACTTATGTCATTGTTCCATTCGATAAAATGAAATGTTATTGTACTGTTGTCGTACTTATGTCAAAAAGTCAAAAATTTGCACTTATGTCGTTGTTCCACCGGAGGAATATATAATACGATGACGACGACTTGTAAACGCTTTTAACCTACCCTAACCCACATTCACAAATCAAGTACACGGTACTAATTTGAGTCTGAAATTATTATCAGTATATCCTGCAGTAGGTGAGTTGCGTCCAAATAAAAAATATTTATAGAAGAGGTCAAAGGTAATAATTTTTTATGGCTATTTACATACATTTTTTTGCTAACAGAACAATATAATTTAGTATTTCTTATAAAGTACAATAATTGCATAAAAATCTCTCCAGAACAATTAAAATAAGTGATTACTATGATGTACTCGTATAATATTTTCATGGAATATATATTTGGGAAAATACATGTTATGTCAATTTTTAGTAGATACGTAGTACATTGATTCTATATATCGTCGGCTACACGGCAAAACCTCGTAAGTCACTTTTATCAAATTGTTGAGGAATAGCAAAAAACTGTGACACCTATTAATATTTGTAAATTATTAAAAGTTATAACTTCAATCACCATTTTTAATCATTTCACATTGTCGAAAGATCAAAAAATCAATATTTTGATATAATTGTGTAAAAAATTAGACTTACGAGTTTTTGATTTTTAATAAATTTGACTTACGAGTTCTTGTAATTAATTCAATTTACTTACGAGGTTTTGTTTTTGAGTACTTTGAGTGTACTTGAGTGTTTTTGAGACTTACGAGTTTTTTGTGAAATTTCAAAATTCTTTTATTTGTAGTTTGTACAAAATCATAGACATATCATTCAACATTACAATATAATATAAAAAGTACAAAACGTTATAAAATTATAAAAAAACTACTGATAGTATTATTTTAAAACATTAAAAATCTTTTATTATAATTGAGAAAAATAATTAACATAAATAAAAATATTTTCTTATTGAACTCATAAAAACTTTCTTAAACAAATTTAATAGTTAACTTCTTGTAACTAAAATATATATAAAATAATAATTATAATAAAAACGATGTTGAGTTAATTATTGAAACATTAACAAATTAAAAATAATTAACATTAAATAATAATATTAAACACATAATATTATTAAATATTAATACAAATTTCACTTTTTTTTATTTTTGGTGTACTGTAAAGTGTCATAGAATGGCCAAGTGTGCTTAGGCAAGACTAATTTTAGCTGTTGAAGGTGCATAAATTTCTCCTCTTTAATTTTAAGTGGTTCACTGTACAAATTTTTTATAGTATAGATGATTTCTTTCCTGTTCTTATTTGGTAAATTTTCCCATTGGTCATCATAATTTAGTTTGTATTGAATAGTAGAGTCTGGGTTGTACTTTAGGCATCTTATGTCAGTAACTGTAGGGTCCCCTTTTTTAAAACCAGGCCTTAAGGATGTATAATATTTTAATGATGAATAATCATTGAAACAACTAAAATTCAAATATTTAACTCTGTATGGATTTTTACTTCGAGCATCTTTACATACACTTATATAGTCAGTAGGCAAATAAATTTCCCTTTTTTTTAATTTCATTTCAATTGTGTGATGGACACTGTCCACTTCCATCTGTGTATGGCCCTTTTCTAAAAAGTTTTGGGTAATTGTCACTTTTTGATCAATTGCAAATTTTAATATTGCATTTGCTACAGTCGTATTACGATTTTGATATCCACAACCATCACTATAGATTGATATATTGTTAATAGTAGGTGTCTTTTCAATGATGTTATCTAAATAGTCTACCACCAAGGTAGCAAAAATAGAAGCCTCCAATCCTCCACTTGTCTCATCCCATAAATAACAGCATACATCAGCTGTAGTTTGGTTGAAAACTGTAAAGTTATGGACGCAAAGTTTAGTTTTATAGTACATTGATGATGCTCTAATGAAAGGAGCTAATTTAACCGCTTGTACGTCCATCGTTAGAGATACATATTCAGTAGGAATATTCATAGCAACTTGTTTGTCTAAGTTCTTTGCATTTCTGGCATCTTTTTTTCTCTGTTGATGATGATCATAAATCTCTTGACTTATGTGTCCATATTTGTAGCCTTCACATAAATCACACAGATCCTTTTTGGGAGAGTAAAGAGCAAGATTTCTCCTATGAAATTCTTTAAAAAAATCAGTTTTATTAACTACAATATCATTTTCCTTTAATGTAGCCACATAGGCATTAAACAAAGATATTTTTGTGTCAAAAAATGATTCTAAATAAGTTTTATTTGAACTTGATCGGCAGTAATGTGATGGAAGTGCAGGTAAATTATCAAAAAAATTTGTCATTTCTTTATTTTTAATAATTGTTCTACCAACTTTTTTTGTTTTCTTTTCATAATCAGGACTAATATTTATTCCAGTACCTGAAACTGAATTTAAAACCCAGTTCCTCACTGACCATTCTTTTAAACCAAGTGTTTGCAAAAATGTTTTTTTGCAGACTTGCAAAGGCTCACTATTTATTTTTAAAAAATATTTTATAGTACTAGAGCGCCGAGAACTATTTGTACCAGTTTTGTTAGCTGTAGTAGGCTATAAATGACATAAAGCTGACACATATGTTCTCCTGTCACTCCAAGTCATACTGTTCCAAAATGTGGAAAACAATTGTTGTCGATCTTCATCTTTAATAAAAAAACATTTTCTAGTACTTGAATTTTTTTTACAAAAAGTAGATTCACATATTTTTCCTAACTGTCTTGAAGATCTACTTTCTGTAAATGAAAATTTCCCCATTTCATTTTTCATTAGACCTTTATAGACTTGACCTTGCATTCTAAGTATTTTGTTTTTATTTTTTAACCATTCATGCTCATCCCCTTCTTCGTACTTAAGTTTCCGTTTTGCTTTTACTACAAGTTCTGTTAAACCACTATCATCTTTTTCCATTTCTATAATTTAAATCATTATTTAATTATGAATAGTAATAAATATTATATTTAATTGTATACATTAATTTAAAACTAACATTTACATTGAACAGTAGGAAAATTATTTAATTCAACCATATCACAATACTTTTCTACATAAGAATTAGTAACTCCTGGTTCCATATTAAGTGTCATATTAATTTGAGTATTACAGTCCTCATTATATTCAATATTATCAGTCTCCAACTCTAATAAGTTATGATAATAATTGTATGAAATATGAGTAAAATATAATGTAATAAAATAAAAAAAAACACCTATTTTAAATTTATAACATATTTTACCTTCAACTACAGAAAATGTATCAATATTAACCACATCATCTCTAACAAAATCAATCACAGAATTGCCAGCACTAGTGCCTAAATCTTCTGTTAAACCATTATCATTATATTTTTCCATTTCTATAATTTAAATCATTATTTAACTATGAATAATAATAAATATTGCATTTAATTGTGTACATTTATTTAATACTATCATTTACCTTGAACAGTATGTAAATTATTAAATTCAATCATATCATAATATTTTTCTACATAGGAATTAATAACTTCCGGTTCTATATTAAGTATATTAATTTGAGTATTACAGTCCTCATTGTGTTCAATATTATCAGTCTCCAGCTCTAATAAGTTAAAAGTTATGAATTATGATAATAATTATATAGAATATTATGAGTAAAAAAGTAAAATATAATGTAATCAAATAAAAAAACACCTATTTTAAATTTATAACATATTTTACCTTCAANAGAATTGCCAGTACTAGTATCTAAATCTTCTGGATCACTTAAGCTGTTTAAAAGTGATTGTATTTCACTATCTGGCAACATTTTTAATACAATAATGTTTTTAATTATTTCAAACGTTTAAAACAATAGAATGCATGTCATAACTCAAAGTCTCAAAAACGTATGTAAATGTATAGCGTATGTGGAGTATGGCAGTATGCTATTCATGATTCATTATAAAATCTACAATTGACTTACGAGGTTTTATTATTGATACTATAGTTACGAGTTTTTGTTTGTGTGTATTATCTTATGAAAGTACCGGGAAAAATATAGATATTATGATATCAAAATGTGCACAAAAGTACAGTGCATCCAATAAAAGAAAAAAAAATTTTTTTTAATTTTGACTTACGAGGTTTTGCCGTGTAGCCGACGATATATATTCTATATTTTAGTGACTTACTATTACTATACAGATTAGCATTTATATTATTTTCAATTTATTTTTATTCAGGAGTCCGGTGCCGATTTGAAATCCTATAAAATATGAAAATTATGTACATATGTTTTTGCTGTCGCCTTAATTATAATACTTTTCCACTAATTTACTATCCGATACCTACTTAAAGGAAGATATTGAGAGTTGGTACTGCATATTATGTTAGTAAAAATGACTAAAAGATTAACTCGTTGAATTTTCAAATTTGTATAACTATTTTTTTTATCTGAAAGAATAAAAATTTGTTTACTCAGCATTGAACATTTTTTTATTTTATTAGAAATAATTTGTGGAAAAATTTTAAAATTTAAAAAAAAGTTAAAATTGTCTCTATTTAAGGACATATTAAAATAGATAAGATAAAAATATTAATAGCTAAGTTCAATGCTGTTTTTAATATTTTCCTAAATATTAATTTAAAAAAAAAAACAAATTTGATTGTTTCTACTGCTTTCAATTATTATTCGTCTAGAGTGTATTTTTGAGAGCAAAATAACATTAACCAAAACTTAAATATAGAACAATTGCAATAATTAATAATCATAATTAAACAACATAAAAATGTTATGTTATACTCTTGGTTGATATTCAAAAGAAATAATTATACTTACGTTTATAATAACTCATCGGGACTGTTGACTTTTAACACACAAGCAATGTCGATAATTTGAATTATACTATGCTAGACTGACCCAAATTGAGCGTTGACTACAGTTGTTGAACCAACTACCTACTTAAAATATCATTTTTGGGGGACATATCATCAGCACTGGGAAACCCAACTCTTACATAACTCGACCGTCGTCTTATTTTGATATCATATTATTGTAATCGAACATAAAAACGTACTAAGTAGTCATGATAAGATATTATAATTAATATTTATTATGTGTATGCCTACAATATATCGTTAACTTTACTTATATTATTCGTCGAGGTACACCGAGTATTATATTATTTAAATAGCCGTGAATAAA